CTAATGCCAAGAATTATTTAAAATTATTTAAAATGATAAAAGAGGGGGAATTGTGAGCAGGAGTCATAAATTTGATTGCCTCGTGACTTCAGTCAATTTGCTCTCTTTTAATATGTTTTCCTTTTTGAAGGTAATGTAAATGTCTAAGGGTTTTGATGGCCTTTTAAAAGAGAAACCTAGCACAGTGGGAAGGACAGAGATATGTGTGGTGAGAAGAGATCTGGTTCTAGTTTTCACCTTCTCATTATATGCTGTGTGATTTGGGCATGTGGCTGAACCACTCTGAACTTCAGCATCTCCAGTCCTGTAATTCGGTCATGAATGTTACCTTCATTTCCTGTGGGGTTGTTGGAATCGGATATACTGTACTTGAATTCAAATCCTGGCTCTGCTTCTCTTTACATGTGTAGTCTTTTCTAAACTGCAAAATGAGCACCATAATTCCTCTTTCCCAATATTTCTTTCTGGATTAATGGATACAATAAATAGTACAGCAGAGATATATAGTTCAATCCTTTAAACACACACACACACACACACACACACACACACACACACACACAAACAAAAAAAAAACAACTCAATTTGAACCTTTCCAATGGTTTGGATTCATTTAAAAGGAAAGACCTGGAAGATAAAGATACTCAGGTAAGAATATCTGCATGATACGCTAAAACAACGGTTCTCAACCTGTGGGTCACGACCCCTTTGGGGGTCGAACGACCCTCTCACAGGGGTTGCCTAAGACCATCGGAAAACACATATATAATTACATATTGTTTTGTGATTAATCACTATGCTTTAATTATGTTCAATTTGTAACAATGAAATTGGGGGTCACCACAACATGAGGAACTGTATTAAAGGGTCGCAGCACTAGGAAGGTTGAGAACCACTGTGCTAAAACCTCCTTTTCCATAAAATGGGAGGTCAGCAGTTCTCAGCCCAGTTTGGACATTTGAATCACCGAGGACAATTAAAAACATTCTCGGGTTCGGGGCTCTCCTCCAAAGACTGAGTCGATTGGTCTGCTGTGGGACTCCAGCCTTGAGATCATAAAAGCTTGCCAGCTCTTTCTAATGTGCACTGGGTTCTATCTTTGCTTCTCCAACTTAACATAAATAACCTGGCAATCTTGTTAAGATGCAGATAATGCTTCTCTAGGTCTGGGGTGGGGCCCGAGATTCTGCATTTATAACCAGCTGGCAGGTGAAGCTGATGCTGCTAGCATGGGACTGCACTCCGTGTAGGAAGTGATTAATGATCCACAACAGTGGTTCTCAACGGTCAGTGCTCATCAAGATAACCCAGCGCTTGCTGAAAACGGGGCACTGGGACCTGGGCCCAGCCCTCACAGATTTATTTCACTTGGTTTAGGGAGGGGCCAAGAGAATCACTGATCCAAAATGTCCATTTCAACCTGAAAATCCCCTGATGCTAATTTTGTGATTTTATAATATGACTCCCCTCCCAGTTCAATTGTTCAGTAAAATAAATTAGAGCCTGAAGCTGACTATGAGAGATATCATTGTCAGAACCTGACAGATGGGTGAGCTCAGCTGATGTGATGTCAACATATGGCTGATCTTTATGCCCTGTGCATCTTCCACCTCCAGCATCTCCTCTAGAGTTAATGGGGACATTCAAAGACCCCCCTCTGTGTGAGCAGGATTTACTGTGGACACAACACCCACAGATTAATCCTTCACCGAGGGGATGCACAAGTGATCTAGGCGTTTTTCTGTTCTCTGAGACATAGCATGCTTCAAAGCAGAATCCCTGGAGACCTGGGCTCATCCTCCGGCCTCAGGGTCAAACCAAGGAAAAGTGAAGGTGGGAGACAATAACAAGCTGTGCTACTCAGCAGCACAGATGACTGACTTCAAAATCTCTAGGACATCCAGGAGGATCTGTCCCATGAGAGAATGAATAGCTTTTTCCTTCTTTTCTCACCTTCCTGGATTCTTCTTGCTCTTACTAGCTAGAAACAGCCTCTTCTTAGGGACAGGCACTTACCACTTTACAAGAATAATTGAAAAACTATAATAGGGACTAAAACATTACAATTCTGGGACTGTTGCTTTGGATAACCATTTTGCATGTAATTAATAAAGAAGTGGTTGGTTTCCAAGAAGTTTATCAATCTGTAAATAAATTGGTACAAGAATGGTAATATAGGAAATGAAACTCATATTTTCTTGCTTTCACCTTTAGAAGTATTTGTATGGGTAAGAACACTTGATTAATCTGTAGAAATATTTGCATGAGCTCTAGAGTAGACAACTCAAAAGGTAATAATCACACTCTAGTTTAGCTGATCACATCCTACGTCTCCCACAACGGGGCTACTTGGCCTTACTGAAGTCCCTCTGTTCCTGGGTGGGGCTGACCAAGGAGAGAGCACCGCACGCTGTGATTCAGCAGCAGCACAAGGCCCGAATGGCCTCAAATGCCTTTCTCAAGAGCCAGCCACCATGCTGCCCCCCTTCCACTGGTCCTCAGAGCCTTGCCAGTGGTAAGAGGTGGGCGTTAGCCATCGCTCTAAAGCATGGACATTTGGGTCAGAAAGACAAGGGTACAAGCCACGGCCCCCAGGCCTCTGCCCATCACTTGGAGCCATTCATCAGGCCAAGGGGCTTGTTATCCAGGAAAGACTGTGGAACCTGTGCGGAGTGGAAGGAAGCCGGTGTAGAGGGGCTGGAGCAGTGCGGTGACCAGCTGCATTATAGAGGCCACAGGGGCCCGGGACGGAGACTCTGGGGCTGCCCGGTACTAGGTGGTGAGGCTCTGGATGAGGTGTTAGAAGGAAAAGGGGCTCTTTCAAGGGAAAGAAGGGCTAGGTAGATGGTGAGTACCAAGCCAGAATGTTACCATTTTTCAGTTTTTCTCTAAGTTATGTTTTGATGAGGCAAGAAAATGATCAATGTGTTTTAACATTTACTTAAAAAAAAACTTTACTCAAAATAGGAAGTGAAACTCCTGCCAGGCCTCATTTGTTTGAAAGGCGGTGGCTTCCTTGTGACATTTCAAACAGAACAGAGATGGCCTTTTGCCAGAGATGTTTCTTTTATTGATTTACTTATGTATAACACTCCCTGTGTTGCAAAAACTGTTTTAAGCACTTTAAAATCTTACCTCATTAATACACTTAAGAACTTACAAACTAGGCACTGTTATTTGCAGAGGCGGTTAATTGGCCCCGCTTCACCGTGGCAGACCCAAGATTTGAACCTCGGCTGTCAGGGTCCAGGCTGTTATCCTGGACACGGCATTACCCTGCCGCTAAGACAGGAGGGCGGTCCTGTTCTGGGTGAAGAGAGAGAAGCCAGACTGGATGGATGGCTTCTTAAATGTGCTGCCCTGGTCATCATCATCGGAGCTCTTGCTTCAAATTCAAACTCCTAAGCTTTACACCTGGATTTCTGACTCAGGAAGTCCGGGATTTTTGGAAATAGACCTAGATGATGCTTAGGGAACCTCCACCCTTACTACAAGTCCAAACTTCTTTGCTTGAAACATCATTCTGATTCCCCTAAAATGAATGTGATATCTGAAAGCAACAGTAGCTTATGCTACCACTTCCCATACATTTTCTAGTCATTCCAACTCTAGTGCTAAACCAGTCACTGATGGTGACAATTCTGACCACTCCACCCCCAGCTCCATCTGCCAACAGCCACCAGGCGCCTGAAGATCCTCTGAGACTCCCACATCCTGCCTTTTTTCCTTCCGTAAAAATCCACAGCTAAGTCTCCTTAGATCCTTAAACTGCAAGGCAAAGTGGGCACGTTTATTATCGTCAATTAACTGCCACTCTCCTCCTCTTGTCCTGCCAATAGTCATGCAGCTCAGGGGGGTCACTCCACCACCGAACATTATTCTCTCACGCACACTGAATGGACCAGACCCAGCAACATTTACCGCGGGGTCTGGAGGTGGCATTGAGCCCTGCCTCAGCCCCCTTTCCCTTTAGTTTTCCATTCTCCATCTCCTTCTAGCATCTTCTGACTTGCAGACCCAGAGGAGCCTGAAGGTCCTGGCCAGTCTCTTACCCTTTTCCTACCTCAGTAACATCCTCATGTCTTTTTAAGGGGTGGAGAGTAGCAGTGCTAATTGCCTACAGCAGAGGAATGAACAGAGCTAGCTATTAGATCACTTCTGTGAATTTAGGCTCTGCTGATGGGTGCACTGACACAAACAGATCAACCAGATAAATTCCAAGCCCTCTTGACTTTAAGAAGACTGGGTCATGCCCAGAAAAATGAAAACAGAGAAGGAAGAATCTTGCAAGCCCTCAAGGCTGCCGTGAGAAATTGGCTTGAGAGCAAGGTAAAATCAATTTGGAAGACAGCACTGGGAAAGCCAAGGCAGACTATTATCAGTGCTCTGTGTGAAGTACTTCACAACCTACACGTGAAACAAGCCAGCATTATCAAAACAGCATTTCCCTCTCAGCTCTGCCTTGTAACTTCCAAGAATTCAACCACGTCCCTATTAAGAATACAGGCAGTGCCCTTCTCCTCGGAGCTTCTGTTGTACCATTTGGGATATGCCCATCATCAGGTTGCTTTGAGTGAACACCCTAACTATTCCGTGGAAAAAAGAAAATATGAAATGTGGTGGGAAAACATTCTAACTGCACCCTTGAACAGGAGAGCGAGTAAACTGGAGCCTAACTGACCATCTTGAAGCACGTAATAAAAATGTACACATCAGTAACACTTCACAACGTGTATGTTCCCTACTGCCCCAAAGTGCGCTGGTAATTCCTTGAGGCAGTGGCTGCATTCATCTAAAATAGACAAGGAAGCTGCAAAGCTCAAGGCTTAGCTCAGGAGCCTTTATTGCAGCTGGATTTCAGTCAGGTAGGCCAGGGTGCCCTAGATCTCTGCAAGTGCAGTGCCTGCAAACTCAGCCCTATCAGAGGGGTGGAGGCGGGAAGCATCCCGGATGCCTTTCAAACTTATGCTTTCCTCCCTTTCTCCCATTTTATGTATTACCTTGAGCTCCTTGACTGTAGAAGAATCTTTGAGCCGACTCGACATCCAAGAGTCTGTGAGCCGACTCAACATCCAAGAATCTGTGAGCAGAGTCGACATCCAGAAAATAATCCATTTTGGGATAATCCATCCTTGATGTTTCAAAAACAGAGTTTTAAGACACAATAGTCACTTGTTTGCCTATGAAAGAGGGAAAAAAATCACAGTACTTTAAACTGTTAAATAGATTTTAAAAGTCTCAAATATGCATTTATATTATAAGTATATATGTACACATATATTTAAATTATCTCATTTGAATATCCCATTATTTGACTGACATCCAATTCTAAAAACATCCTTCAACATAGCTTTCCTATTGTGTGAGAAAATGCCACATTTAACCAACATTCATTTAAAGTCCTCTATCCCACTCAGGAAAAACAGATGATCCAGGCTAAAGAGAGATAACATACCAGTCTTTCCTTGTTGTATATTAACTGGAAAAGATACTGTTAAGTTCATATGCTATCCATTTTCTACAGGTCTGTCTGATAAATGGCATCATTAAGTGTCAGCCTTTCGTAGCACTGACCCTCAGTTAATCCAGGGAGCTCCGATTCCCCTTGAGCAGCAGGAATTGCCTGGGAACCGGAGCCTCCACTTATAGATGCTTTGCATTTATGGCACATGCTGACATGTTTGCTGTAAAACGCCTTGAATCCCTTCCTTTATAGCGATTCCCTCGGTACATTTTACAAAAGTGCTACAGCATTATTACCTGCTCACCCCTGGCATGGGCTGCTGTTAAGGAAGAATTCTGGTCTGTAGAGCAGTGACAATTATTTCAGAATTACAACGATCCCCATAATATTATCTGCACCAGCCTGTCAGGAAGCTAATACTGTACACTTCACTACAAAACATTCAGCCCTGTGGGTGCCTTCGAACATATTAGCCTTTCCCTGACACTTGCACAAATGAACTACTCTATTTCTGCAGGATGCTTTTGGAAAGAATCAACAAGACAGAGTCATTAAAATCAAGTTCAGAAGGCTAATCCAGCTATTTCTCTTTCTAGTCCAGTAAGAGGAAACTTTAACAAATACCCAAAGGTACCCCACCAGCAAATCATACTTACTGCAAAAAGAAAAAGAAAACCAAGGGCTAGCTGCCGGCAATAAAAGCAGGAGCAATTTCAGCCAGAGTCTTTGATCTCACTAAATATTCCCGGTGGAAGTAAACAATTTTGATTGTTTGCTTATTACAGCAATGAATAATGTATACAATCCACTGGACTTGTTTTATCAGATAAAATGGCCAGAGCACGTTACCTTAGCAACAGAAGGTGACGCCAGCCTCCGTCTCCTTGTATCCTCTATTGTGAAAGAAGAAAATGACCGGTTTCCTGTGTAAAACTTTGGCAGAAAACCATCCCCACTAAAATCTATATGTAACCGTCACGTGGGTCCATTCTGCATCTCCCTGTCCCCGCCCATCTCTTTTGCAGAGAAGTGTCTTAGTCATTTAAAAAAATGGTTTTGGTTTAATATATTTTTATAGCTCCAAGTCCCAGTTTGACTTGAAATTAAAACAGAATTACATGATTAAATAGTTAATGTGATAAGAAAGTTGTCTAGCAATTGTTAGGGGCACCAGTTCTTACCCTAATGGTGTCTAGGATGATAGGGACAGGTCATTTTCAGCTAGCTCATGTTAAACATTCTCCTGCTATAATCATTTCAAACATCAGCCATCGGCATCTAGGCTGAAAATAACTCTCTTGCCTTCTGTGAATCAGTCACTGGAAGACGCTTAAAAAGCTGTTTGAAATTTCCCAGCTTTTAAAAGACGCATTATATCATAGATCTTTTGTGAGCTCCCCCACCCCCCGCCAAAAGAAAGGAAAGCCAAAAAGATGTATGAAAGGAAGAGTCTTAAAGTTAGCAGGTACTCACCAGCACTTGTTGGCCCCTTTCAACAGGACATCACAGAGCATAAAGCAAAGCTATGTGCGATGCCGAGCCTGCAAGCCCAAAGGAGCAGCTTCTAATTTTCCCTTCAATCCCAATTCAAGAGCACTGAGCAGAGCAAGGTGATGGATTTGCCCATTTTATATTGTGATGAAATGCAACCCCTAAAAGAGATCTGAGTGGAGCTGTTCTTTAAAACACATTAGGCTGCTAATTTAAGAAAATTGAAAGGTTTTGTTTTACTGTCTTTTATGTGTTCTCTCCACTACCCCCTCAATTTAATTTGCATTTAAAATTATGCTCATGTCTCCTCGGTTCTCCAAGGTGTGGAGTACTTTTTAATCACGACGGTTGCCTGGGTAGGGGTTTGGTGCAAGGCCACTTTTATTCTGAGCTGCAAAGCAAGGTGGGTAATTATAATTGTGAGCTGCTTTCTAGAGTGAAATGCAGAGTGCACATTTGATTTCACCCCCTCCCTTTTTCCTAGCCTTCCTTCCTCTTCCTGCCTTTAATTGCTTGGTCAAATCTTCAGCCCAAATCATGCCAATCTGTCTAAATGCATTCCTCTCTGTCTGTCTGAATGTAGCAAAATAATCTCAACAGCAAAAACAAAACAAAACAAACAAACAAAAACCTTTGGTTAGATTTCTGAGCTTATTCTGGTTGGAATCCTCCCTACCAAACCTCAGTAAGGATTTTACTCAGTAAGGCACAATGTTTGAGATTTGCTCAGGAAAGGCGTAATGATAGCCAACGACAAGCCTTGGGTTTTCTACAACCTTCTCACACCCTTTGTTGATCAAGTGGAATTGCTAACAAGTACAATGTGGAGTGGGACCTGTTGGGTTTTTAAGAGAAGCTACATTTGAGAAACCTTGGAATGAAGACCACTAGACTCCTCCCTCCCAACATGAAAATCTCCAACTGTTTGTCTTGTGCATTTTCCTACTCAGTCAGAATAAATTAGACACAAAGTTGGTGTTGCAGAGAGTTAAATTGGACAAAAGAGGAAGCTAAAACAACCAATTATATGCCCTTGTAGGCAAAGTCAAAAGTCAACTTTGGACTCAGAATACAGGCATACCTTGGATATACTGGGAGTTTGACTCAAGCCCAACACAATAAAGCAAGTTGTAATCTTTTTGCTGGTAGAGGGTCTTGACTTCAATTTGTAAATAAACAACAAACAAAAATGCAATGCAACACCTGTGAATTGCAATAAAGCAAAGCACACTATATGAGGTGTGCCCGTGCTCCAAGCCCGTCCTCCAGACCCAGGGACTTAACTTTTCTAAGGTTACATTTCTATTCAGCCCCAATGGATACATGCTGAACACTTGACATTTACAAGAGAAAGCTGTCTCCTGGTTCCTTTAGCTTACAGTGAGGTGTGGGCGAGAGGTTCTGAACTCTCTATTGTGATTCTACTGAAATTATAATGACTCATAGGAGAGAGAGGGAGAAAGGGGGTGGGGAGGAGAGAATGATAGAGAGAATACACAATTTACTGACAAACACCAATCATTTAGGTGAGCACACATGAATGTGTGATTGAAGGAGATGCTAAATTGGAAATTTGAAAAATAGAGTTGATTCCCAGGGGTTGGGGGATGGGTTTAGAAGTCAGTCATTTCTAGAGTTGATCAAGCAAGGGAAATTTGAAATGTCCTGTAAAAGGCCCATAATTTAAGAAAGCTCAGAAAGACAAATTTCAACTTAAAAAATGTATTTTAAAAGAAGATAATTGATTATTCACTTGCAAAAAGGGACTTCATTTTACTGAATAATTAATGACTGGGTTCTTTAAAGTAAATCAACCTGTTTCTTCAAAAAATGCTTTTACACTCTGGGGAGCATAACTGTAGGTTACAGGTAGGAATGTCTGTGTGAGGAATTTTTTTAAGGTGGGGAAGCATTGTAATGTTCAAAAGCCAGTGTCAAAATCTGATCAGCTCAGCTCTGTTTTATAACTTTAATCTACTCAAAAGCAACATTTATAATGGCCCATTGTTCTGAGGTATAATAGAACCAGACAGAGAAAAAGGAAAAGTTAGAACAAGTATTCAGACTAACATTCATGCAGCACTGAACAACTCACCCCAAACATCCTCAAGCCATCAGCTCTAAAAGTTAACTCAGTGTTAACATCTCAGTGAGCCAGAAATTTAAAAAAATTTTTAAGCCAAAATAGAATTTTATCTTTAAGAAAAATTTTAAAGTCCTCACCCCAGGATATGTTTATTGATTTTAGAGAGAGGCAGGGAGAAATAGAAACTTGATTGGTTGCCTCTCATATGCTCCCCAAACGGAGACTGAGCCTGCAGCCTTGGTATATGCCCTGGCCAGGAATTGAACTTGAACCTGCACCCTTTCAGTGAATGATGCTCCAAGTAACTGAGCCACACCAGCCAGGGCAGAATTTTATCTTTTAATCGATGGCATTTCAATATGAAAGTTTAGAACTGGAAGGCTGAAACAAATAATCTAGGATTATTAAAAACACATCACATAGAGATGTATATGCTTTTCTGGTCAGTTTGGTAATAAGAAGATATATCTATATAGAAAAAGAAAGAGAAGTATTTGATTAATTCAAAATGGCGGTATATTTCAAGATGGAATCTAGAGACCAGTGAAAATATCAGCTTGTGTTAATTTATCTTTCTATTGTACTTATTTTTTCTACTAGAAGGCACAAGACCCAAATATTCTGGGTAAGAGGTCATGTTGATACCATTGTAAATAACCTGGTTATTGATTAACAGGGAAGGAACAAAGGGAAGGCCAAATAGATGTATGCACATGAAAGAGGGGAGGTACTTGTCTGTCAGTTACACCTGGGAGCAGGTCATTGGTCAGAGTAGGTGTGGCCACTGCAAGCACAGGAATATTTCGAATATTTAAACTCCCAAACAAAGTAGTGTCCTCCCTCTTGTGCCCCTGGGCTCCTGGCTCTCTTGTTGCAGGGGGTGTGCTCCTCTGCACTGGCCCACATGGCTCAGGGCCATGTGGACCCCACACAATGGACTGATGGACTGTGACTAGCCCAGGGGTGGGCAAACTTTTTGACTCGAGGGCCACAATGGGTTCTTAAACTGGACCGGAGGGCCAGAACAAAAGCATGGATGGAGTGTTTGTGTGAACTAATATAAATTCAAAGTAAACATCATTACATAAAAGGGTACGGTCTTTTTTTTTTTTTTTTTAGTTTTATTCATTTCAAATGGGCCAGATCCGGCCCGCAGGCTGTAGTTTGCCCACGGCTGGACTAGCCTGATGCTACACTGGACCCAGCTCCACCATAGAATGGAAACTCTGGACTCTCACTTTGCTTCTAACTCTGCTGAATCCCCTTCTTGGACTAGACTAAGGGTAATGAGACTTTGCAACATGAGGGATGTCATTCCATGCAAATAAAGCTTTCTCCCACATCTCATCTTCCTGTGGGGACCTCCAGAAATGCTTCTTCCAGTGGTTCCCCAATCCTTAGCAAGAAGAGTTTTCAAAACACAATCATGCAGTCTTCTGTTCTTGAAACTGCACTGGGGAGAGCCACACTGGAAGAGAGGTGGCATTGGCCAGTATGGCAGGCCAGAGCCAAGAGAAGTCAAGCCTTTGCCTCTACTTGCTCACTGCCCACTTCTGAAAATACCCTTTCTGATTTTTGTAGAAAGGCTGGTTCACAGAGTGGAGAACAAGAGTTCAACATGTCATTTTACCCATCTGCCAACTGGAATCTAGTAAGTTGATCTTGCTTACAATATGGAAATTTCTTTGCTTGGTAGAAAGACCACTCATAAATTATATCAGTATCTCAGTGTTTATCTAATTGATCTGGAAATAGGAAAATGAAGAAATGTTGAATAGGAAATGAGGAATTCTCAAGCAACTCTCTATTTACTGTAACTCTCAAATCTCTAAATAGAAAGACATGAAAATGGCCTCTTAATCATAGAATATGTGCTGACAGTAGTAGCCTTTTAAAACATGAATTTGAGAATATATAATAATGATATTTGACTATTTCCTCTGGCAAGACAATCATATTGCCCTCAGTTCTTTTTGTGCTTGTGTATATTTGTTTTCAACTATCCTGGAGGGGGCTGAAAAACTAATCACAAGTTGAATTGTGTTTTCCTAGTCTTCCTAAAAATCCAGATAGTAACATAAAGTATCCAAAGATATATTGAAGAAGGAAAGAATAATAATCTCTGTTGGGCCACAAGGCATACAGACCCTGCAGAGAAGATATGGCTCTTGAAATTTCAAAGCACATTAGGAAAATAAGATTAGCTATAGTGGTGAGAACCCACAGGGAGTGACTCTAAATTGTATCAAGACTATATAAGTCATTTTTAGGTCATTGAAATTGTCATTTTTATAATCCTAAAGTGCTATTCAAAGTG